ATGAAAAAAAAAAAAACCTAGTTCTTCACAGACCAACCTAACATCAGTCATTCCAACTCAAATAGAATAAATTACATCAAATTTAATACATGTTTGATAAACAACACTATAAGGAATCAAAGCCCTATAATATTAACACATTATTATCAAAATATTAAATTAAATCGATTGAATTGAGGAAAAAAAAAAACTTGCAGTTCTTCACAGACATCAGTCATTCAATCTCAAAAATCATTCCCAAATTGAATAAATAAGATAAATTTGAATACATGAGATGATAAACAACACTATAACGAATCAAAACCCTATAAATTTAACACATTCTTTGCAAAAAAATTACTGAAATTGTGAAAATGGCGGAAAAAAAAAAAAAAACAGTCCTCTTTTTTTTTAACAGACATCACGCTTATTTTCTATAAAATCCAACTCAAATTGAATAAATATAATCAAATTGAATATATCTAATAACAAAAAACACTACAAAGAATCAAAACCCTATAAATTTAATACATAATTTGTAAAATAATGACTGGATTTGATCGCATGGTGGAAAAAAAAAAAACAGAGTTTTTACCTATTCTTCTTGCATCCATGCCTTCAAACTCAAAATTGATATGTATTCCTCCAAGATAATCTGAAATTATGAACACAAAATTCTGACCAACACTCTTACAATCACTCAGCCTGAAATTTTACAAAAAATGAAACTTTATTTCGATTGAAATCACTGAAATGGTGGAAACCCTAAAAGTCACTCTTCGATCCAAATTTGTTGATAAAAAACGGTGGTTTTAATTCGTTTTATTGAATGAAAATGATTCGAAATTTGAATTAAAGCCTGTAAGATTCATTCATAAGGCTGAAAACGTTGAAAATCGATCACAAAATGATAAAAAAAATCGAAATCCCTTGTAGAACACTGTGCAGCCCGTGTTCTTCCAGGTGACTCAGTTTGACTCGGACGGAATCGCGAGTCTACTATTGGGAATCGCTCGGTTCTCTCTGGACACGGGCGATTCCCGTTTTATGTGCGGAACCGGCTCGTCCGATGGTGATTCTCGAATCGAACGGGGTGAGTCCGGTTCGACTCGACGTTTTTTAAAACCCTGCTTCTAATCCAAAAACACGGCTCCCTCTATGTGGCTCTCGGCATTCAAGCAAGATGAAATACTTGAGAAAAATGCATTCAAACAACTTTAAACGAAAAGCTTTCTCCACCTAAATGGGAATCGTAACAAGGTTCGCTTTCAAAGACTGGAATATCTTGGAGAAGCCAAGAATTGTATTTTGGAGGTTCTAATGAAAACAACGAAAGTGAAGAAAGACTTGGAATGAGTTTGGATAATGCAGTCTTTTTGCCGTGTTGAATGGAACTGAAAACAATTACACACTCATATTTTCGTTGAATGAAGGTAACATCTTAGTGACAATTATTTCCGATAATTTGACTTTATGCTTATTTTCTCGCAAGAAAATCAAGACCCGTTAATATATCTGATATTACCACCATAAAATGCATTTGCCGCAATAATATGATCCTCCTCAACAATAATCTTAGATGATAATAATTATAGTATTTAGAAAAATAAATGGGATTGTTTTCAAAGAAACCATTTATTTTTTCTACTTGGAGGTCACAATCATTCACGCTCTTTAAATTTCGAAATGGGTGGTTTTAAGAGTATTATTGAATAGATACAAAGTTCCAAAAAACAATTCTTAGACTTTGTTACTCACCCCAAGCCATCCAATTTGGTGGCTAACGAGTATGAATGATTGTGACCTCAATGTACCAAAATAAATGATCTCTTTGTAGATATTCAGAAAATAAAATAAATTTGAGTAAGAAACATAAACAACGTATCCAAGAAACGTAAAAAACGTATCCCTTACTAATTAGTGATATAATCCCTTAAAAAGTAAATAAGTACATTATTTTTGAAATAACCGAAATACAACCTAAAATTTGAAGGTTGTTGCCTAAAAAGAGCCTTCAAAATTTTTCATCTACATTTTGATTTTTAAAAGAGGCTTAAAACTTGCTCAAATTATGTTTGGAATAGCTAAATGGATCAAATTTTAAAGACTTGACCAGAAAAGGATTTTTATAGGTAAGTTATACTTATTCCACGGCAAATATAATACCACTTCTATATTTTAACTTATGATAAAATTCCAATAAATAATTTTTTTAAAAAAAAAAAAAACAACCAACATTATCCTGGTAAAAATTATGGGCAATAATATCATCATATTGATAATTGTCACTAAGGGTAAGTTGTAGATTATTTCATCAAAGAGAAAAAAAAGGCAAAATCGATCATTTTGACTTTAATAATCATGTATATGGATATAGAAAAATAAAAAATAAATTTGGGAGCCAAAACAATCGCATCTTGTAATGACCAATAATTTTCATTGTTCATAAATGCCCCAGATCTACACCATTCGTAGAGCTTCAAAAGTTCATGGTCGTAGGAGGATATGGTGTGGTTTCAAAGTACGACTTCACTAAATAGGAAAGTATATAAAGAGACCATTTACTTTTAGTACATAGAGATCACAATCACTAGAGTCCATCAAATTTTATATGAGGTGGTTGTAAGTCTATTACCGGCTAGACTCAAGTTCAAAAAAGAAAATTTCTTGTGTTTCATAATATACCTCGAGCCATCCAATTTGACATCTAAAAGCTATGAGTGATAGTAACCTCCTTATAATAATGGTAAATGATCTCAGTGCATACAATTCTTAGCTAAACATGAAAAAGAGGCAGCCTTATGAAAAGGGCAAAGTTTATATAGAGTCGAGGCTTTAAACAATCAAATTCGACCCTACATCAAAAATTTCACAAGAGATTGTTTTGATGTTCAAATATCCTCAAATTGATCATCTCATCATCAAGATGCATGGACATGAGAAAAAAAACTAGATTTCAGTTTTGGAAATAGTGTATTGTGTAATGCATTTTTGGACCGTCAATTTCAAGATTTGCAAGATTTTCAGTTTTCAAAGATCAGTCGATCTATACTATTTTTTAAGCTTTAAACTTTATAAATAAAGATGAAAATATATTTTAAGGCTATCACAAAGATTTTCAGTGTTGAAACCACATTTCTCGATACTATTTGAAGGTAGGCTCTAATTTGATTGTTTAGAGCCTAGGCTCTATACAAACCGCACCCTTATGAAAAACCACACCCCACCTAATTTGATCTCTTTTTAGAAGAACGTTAAATGGATAAATTTATGTCTTTTTAATATAAATAACATCAGTCGAAGTTGTGTGCCAATTCCCCTTAGAATCCTTCGAAATGTAAACGACACACTAAAACACAAACACTCGCCGTCTCTTTCATATGTTTCCAACTTTTCTACGATCCAATTTCCCTCAAGCCTCGAATTCGAATAATATAATAAAAAAAGGGTGCATGAGCCATGGTTCTAAACAATCAAAGTAAAGCACTCCTTTAAATAGTATGGGAAAATTTGGTTTCAATACTGAAAAACTTTACGATAGTTTCAAAATATATTTTCATCCCTAATTACAAAATTTTAAGCTAAAAAAATAATGTAAATCAAGCAAATCTAGAAAATCTTGAAAATTGACTATCTAAAAAAGCATTACCAGAAGTACTTTTTTCAAAACTTGAAATCCATTTTTTCTCACCAGGAAATGTGTGAGTGGTTCAAATTTTGGGGTAACTTGCGTGTGTTATTTTGATCTTCAATAGCTCCCTCAATTGGGATCGGGGTGTCTACACAAATATACAATAAGTATATCTTTGACATTTTAAATTTCTCATAACTATACGATTAATTCCAAAAAAAATTAACTCGATAAAATTCCTATCAATGATTTCCCGATGGTGACAATTGTCACTAATGTTGTGAAATTTGCCCAAATTTCATTTAATTAGGGACATGGAGGAATAAAAACAAATGACATGATTAGTTTATAAGAAAAATGTCAAATTTTTTTCGATCAGTTCAGTAATCGAACTTGAAATGCACTACTAATGCTAGGTGATAATAAATGTTCCAACGGAGCCGATTACTCGGCCGATGCGATGCCCCAGTTGAGTAGTCTCTCGGGTCCGAGTAACTCAGACCGAGCAGGGTCGAGTATTGTAGTAGTTGAAAATTATTTAAAAAATAAAACAATGCAAAAAAAATCTTTATAAATAGGAAAAATATATTCAAATAAAATTTAACGAAAACACAATTAGTTGTGTTTAAAAATTTAGCGAAAAATAAATTTTAAAAAATGAGTTTGTGAAATGGCATTTTAATTTTTTTTTAGAAAGGGTGGGAAAATGAATACTTTCTAATCTTTACCGAAATGATGGAAAACATAAAAAAAACATATTATAAAAATATAAGTAATGACACTATGAAACCCTCCGACACCTATGTGAGTGGGACTCTAAAGGATCACTATTAAATTTTGACACATATATAGAAAAATTATGACATGGGTGTGGAACTTAAGATAATGGGTTTTCTAAACCTCTGTGTCAAAATTTAATGATGATCATTTGGGATCCTACTCATATGGGTGTGGAAGGGTTTCATAGTATTATTATTCTATAAATTTATACTTTTTTCTTATAGTATTTTATAATTTTTTTAAAATCCCCAAGTTGGCGACAAGGGCCCGAGCCCCAGTAACTTGGTTGAGTTGCAACAACTCGGCCAATTTTTCAAACACCGGTGATAACCACTCAAGCCCAAGCCCAAGCCCAAGCCCAGCCCAAGGCCACAGTGGCTTGGGTGGAGGTTGCTTGGAAGGGGCCTTACAACTAGAAGGGGTTCGTAGGGGGTGTTTTTCAGATAAGTTGCCTTTGGAAGAGGGTCTACATTGTAAATTCCGTTTTTGGGTTCTCCAACGAAGTTTCGGCTTCGCCCCCCCGAAATTTATAATTTTCATATTCTCCCGCCCCCTCAAGCCTTTAAAAAGCACAATTCCCTCCATTTTAAGCCCATTGTGAGCAGTGATCTCTCTGTTGAGACAAGAGAAAATAAGGGAAATTGCAGATGTACGCCACGCCCTGAAATTTGCAGAGATATTTACGAATCGTAGGCTGTCTGGTATGCTCTCTCTCTCTCTCTCTCTCTCTCTTTTTCAATCTATGTTTATAAGAGAATTAACATCTCTCCATGTGTTTTTGAGAGAATTAGCATTTTGCCCCACGTATGCTGTAGGATTATCTTCCTCCCTCTGACTATCTAGGTTGCAGAGATTATTACAGAGCTTGTAGATTTAAATCTTAATGTTTGCTCTCTCTCTGTCTTTAGGTTTTGGAGAGAACCAGACACTATACCATTTGCTTTCTCTCTCTCTCTCTCTCTATGATTTGGTAAGAATTTGGGTCTTTTACAGATTAGGCGGTAAGTATTTGCACTCTCTCTCTCTCTCTCTCTACTACTACTAAACAACGTAGTAACGACGTACGTAGTAGTAGTAGTACGTACGTACGTACGTACTCTCTCTC